TTCTCTTTCCCTGTGCCACCTGTTTACCTACAGCATCAGGAAGCGGTCATGTCTGTTCCCAACAGAGGAAGGGGAGCTGTCACTCTTTGCTTCAGTTTATCACAAATAGTCCTTTGCTTAAAAAAGTAATATATCCCAAATTTGGTCTTATCTGGCTTAGGAAATTAACTCTTCTCAGGCCCGTTTTAGGACCCAGACTCATTCATTCTTTGCCTTTGGAGAAAGATGATGATAATTAAGGATCATTTAGGATTAGTGCCCTTTCTCTTCTGGGCTCTGCAGCATGTGGGATTTTCCCCCCAATAATTAAAAATATTTTTCCTCCAGCTTTACTGAGATATAAATTGACACATATGATTGTATATGTTTAAGGAGTACAATGTGTTGATTTGATATGTTTGTAAATTGCAAAATGATTAGAAGGTGGTGTTTCTGTTGGTTTTCCAGCAAGCCTTCAGTGCAGGCTGGGGGCAGCACATGTCGGCCCTATGCCAGCTCACTGGGGGCTGTAAGGTGCAGTAGTGGGTGGTCTGGACTCACCACCCTGCACAGACAGTCCCCTCAGCTTTTTCATTTCCTTCCGTCCTCTTAGCACTGCACTCTGCCATGGTGTCGCCCAGAATACTGGAATTTCCTAGATTAATGGCATTTTAGACACGTGTACCATTTGGCCTCAGGGTTCCCCCTGGAATGTGGACCTCCAGGTCCAACGGGAGAGACCTGAGCCTCATTACTGACATTCAAGCCTTTGGCTGTCTACCTCTCATCACAGGTATTTCGAATTTTGTTTTCATTTTTTCAGCATTCCTCTAATGAGTGAGGACTGGTGTGTTTTCCGACCCATTTTGTAGAAGGAGGAAGTAAGGCAGGATGTGAAAGCCTGAGGAGTCCAGTGGGGAGGCCCAGCATTTCCTCCCCTGAAAAGGAAGCAAATATTTCCTTTTAGGAACAAGAAACTTCAGCCAGCCCTCTCTGCATTGTGGGTGGGAGAAGGGAATGGAGAGGGAGAGAGTGGAGAGGCATTAGCTGCTCCGCCCCCTGTTGGATGTAGGTTTCCTGGGGTGGGAGTGAGGCTGGTTACTTCCCAGGTCCTGACTGAGGGCCCAGTGCCTCAGCAGGGTATCTTCTCGGCCCTGAAGGATGCCAAAGCAGTAAAGGAAAGAGGAGAGGGCTCAGGTCGGAAGATTTCCCTTTCTTAGCTGGCCTCGTGCTTGCTTCTCATGCCCCACAATTGCGGAGGCTCTGAGAGGGCTCAGGGCAGTGCATCAGGCCCATGCCAGGGAACAGACAGCTGGATGCATGGCTGTGGCCTCCTGAAAGCCTCCCGAAAGCCTGTTTTTTTTCTGGTCTGTAGGATACGGTCTGGGCTGGATACTGCAGCTGGTCTTAGAACAAACTGGTCTGAGCACAGGCTCTTTAGCACCCTGAGTACAAGGGTGAGATTGGAGAATGGGGAAAGGGTGAAGGGGAGATGTGTTTAATGTTGGATTTCCCTTTCCAAGTTCAACAAATTGCCTGCTGAAAGTAGGGAATGTACTCGTGTAACAGATTCACTGTGATAAATTGATGCAAATTGATGCTTCCCTGCTGGGTTCAGATCAGAGACCTAGGGGGCTGGTAGGGAGTTAGAAAGACAGGTGAGACCTAGGTGATGAAGGATCATCATGATTTTGGTTGACGGCATCCAGAGTAGAGTTCTAGCCCAACTCCCTAATTTTACACACAGGGAAACTGAGGCCAAAGGAAGCCGGGTGTCTTCAAGGTCACAGAGCTATAAGGGGCAGAGCCTGAACAAGGATCATGGTTTCATTACTTCTAAGGAAGTGCTCTTTGTAAGACCCATGGAAGTGCTGACATCCAGGTAAGAATTTTCCAGTGCAATTGATTGCTCAGTGCATTTTGAAAAATCAGATCACCAGATGGAAAAATCAGATCACCGCCCCTCCACAAGGTTGAAATCTGGGAAGAATGTGACATTTGCACTCCCATTCCTTCATCTTTCCTGATGATGGCACTGCTGCTTATTTTGAAGGGGCTGTGAATCTCGGTGGTAATGGCTCCATTGCACTGGAAGGCGTATCTAACCCACGCTTTGGTGTAAATTTACTCCTTTAAGCTACTCTTACGATGTCTGCGGCATCAGTATGATCAGGATGTCAGTAAAACTGCCTAAGAATCAGAGGGGATGGGGAGGAAAAGACTAGTGAAACCATCTAGAGAAGGAACAGTGGGTAGCTGTAGAAGGAAATGTAACTTACGAGGGGTCCAGAGAGAGAGGAAACGAGATACTTGTAAAGGAAGGAACCTGCCATCCATATGGTAGCCCCAGGGGTGAGAACAGAGACAAATAAGAATTTCGGGACAAAGTCCTAAATATTGGTACATTAGAGCAGGTGCAAAATAGGAACGATTTTCTCGGGAACTCAAAGGGAAGCCAAGAGCCAGTTGGATGAAAAAAGAAAAGGTCAGAGATAGTTCTTTCTTCTTTGGGACTCAGTTCCCCCGTCTTAGGTAGACTAAGACCTTTCCTGTCTTTTCTAATTTGAATGTTCTGTGCAGCTGGGTCTAAGTTTTATGAGCAAAGGATGAGTCATGCTGTTAGGGGAAATTAGAAATTCAGAGGAGAGCTCAAAGGCCAGAGAGCATTATTAAGCTGTCTTACCTGGAGGAAGAATGCATATTTGAAGACAAGACCCTACCTTCTGTTTTTTTCAAAAGCAATTTTTATTTGTATTCATATACTTGAGTTAATTTTTTTCCCCCTGGAGTAAAAATGTTTTAGGGAGGGAAAGTCATAAGCCATTCCCGGGAAAACTGGGAGTTTGGTTCTACAGAGCCTGGCTGAAGTCAATGGATACTCCAGGAGGCAGTGCCCCATGTTTTGGGGGCTTTGTGAATCTCATCCCCCTGTGGCTTCACTTCCATCATTGAGTTTTCTCCTTTGTTTGGGTTCTAAATCCTTTGAGAAATATCTTCCCTAGCACCCTATTTATCTCCTAGAGAGTATGATTTTGTTTCCATTTTTAAGCTTTTGTAATCACAGTTCTGTCCTTATAAAGCCAGTAGGTATTGGTATAAGCAGTGATTCAGACAGAAACACTGTTTAAGGTTAGAAATTCAAGGCAAGAACTTGGTTGAAAACTAAATATTCCTAATTCCCAAAGGATCTTCCCAGAGTCATGAATGACTTGTGGCTCCTTCAAATCCAGAGTACAGATCTTCCTTGACTTACAGTGGGGTTACATTCTGATAAATACTCCTAAAATATCATAAGTTGAAAATGCATTTTATACAGCTAACCTACCAAACGTCATAGCTTAGCTGAGCCTACCTTAAACGTGCTCAGAACACTTACATCAACCTATGGTTGGGCAAAATCTTCTCACACAAAGCCTATTTTATAATAAAGTGTTGACTATCTCATGTAATTGACTGAATACTGTACTGAAAGTGAGAAACAGAATGCTTGTCTGGGTCCAGGATGGTTCTAAGTGTATCCTTGTTTACCCTCGTGGCTTGCTGTGCTGCCCAGCATTACAAGAGGGTATGTTGTACCCCATATCACTAGCCTGGGGAAAGATCAAAATTCCAAGTATGGTCTCTGAATGCATTTCGCTTTGGCATCGTCGTAAAGACAAAAATCATGAAAGTCAGACTGTCATAAGTCAGTGACCAACTGTAATGCTAAACTCAAGTCTGTGCTCAAACTCTAAATTACCTACAAACAACCCCTCCCCTTTCCATTTTTGGTGACACCCACTGCTCCTTGAAAGTCAGCATCATTTTCCTTCTAGACTGTGTGCTTAAGTTTTTAGGGATCATGAGAAATACAAGGATTTCTTGCACTACAGCAAAGAACCCATTAAAAATCCTTTCTTTCTTAGTATATAAATATTCTCAAAGTCATTTTAAAAAAAGGATAAACCACTGACAGAAAAATGAGCAAAAGACATGTCTTTTAACCCATAGGGAGAAAATATCAAAATCTATGAAAAGATGAATGATATTAATTACTAAAGAAATGCAAATTAAAACAATGAGATGTTTTCACCTATCAGATTGTCAAAGATTAACAACATTTGATACCATATAGTGTTGGCTCAGGTGTTCTGGTAAAGGTAGTTTAAAACAGTTGCTAAGAATTTGGCAATAACTATAAAATTTTTTCAATGCTCATATCCTTTGAGCATTTTCTTTCTGTTTTAAAATTGACATATAACATTGTGTACGTTTAAGTATAAGATGTTGATTTGATGACCCAGCATTTTCATACCTATGAATTTATCCTCAAAAACATTTGCATAAGAACATAAAAAATACGTTCAAGAATATTTCCTGTGGCATTGTTTTAGTGGAGAAAATGGGGAAACCCCATTTATTGATGATTTGGTTAAATAATCTAGAAAACATCAGATTTGGTTTGGGTAAAAAATTATAGTACATTCAATAATACAATGGCATACTATGCAGCCTCTAAAAAGAATGGGGAAGATCTGTATGTATTAATTGGCATGTAAAGATGCTCAAAATTTATATAGTGAAAAAAGCAAATTGCAAAACAGCATGTTATTGAGCAATAAAGCGTGATAATTATACATTGTTATATGAGAAATTTTCATTTAAAAAAACTCCAGTGCTTATTGAATGTTCAGTATGTATCAGGCTTTGGACTAAGCAGTTTACATGTATTAAATCATTTGCTCCTTCCAGTGATAACTGGGGTGTGCTCTCTCACTCTCTCCATTTTTTTTTTTTTTTTGCGGTACGCGGGCCTCTCACTGTCGCGGCCTCTCCCGTTGCGGAGCACAGGCACCGGACGCACAGGCTCAGCGTCCATGGCTCACGGGCCCAGCCGCTCCGCAGCACGTGGGATCTTCCCGGACCGGGGCACGAACCCGTGTCCCCTGCATCGGCAGGCGGACTCTCAACCACTGCGCCACCAGGGAAGCCCTCACTCTCCCCATTTTAATGCTAAGCAAGTCAAGTCCTGGAATAGTTAGGCAACGTGCCCAAGGTCATATAGCTAGAAATGGATAGAACTGGGATTTAAAACTGGGAAATGGAAGAAACCAGCCAGTTTGACTCTAGTCTGCATACCTAACCACTATGTTCTATAGCTTCTCAGGATTTTCTGATATCATAGTTTATATCTTTTTAGTATTTGAAATTTTGTAATGGACCCATCCTGTTTTGGGAATTAAAAAAGTAATAAATGTATATAAAACAACAAAGACTAAAACCAATCTCATTCCCAGGACACCTAAAAAAAATTTTTTTTAATGGAGAATAGGATTTTAAAAATTGAGATACTTAAAAAATCAAAATAGTGTTCTACAAAAACAATTGTGATAGAAACTCCAGTATAACCAGGAAGGAACAATTAGCAATTAAAATAAAACTTTTAAAGTGCAAAGATGTGTTGACAGCTTATATACAAAGAAATCTGTAAGTAAAATGAGAAATTCACAGGCTCTAAAGACATGTAAACTGATTTTAAGGTAATGCATGTGCTTATTAAATAAGCAAAAAATAATACAAAGAAATGAAAGCCAGTGCTGGTGAGGCTGGAGGGAAATGGAAAAGCATTGTTGGAAGCCTGGCAGTTGTCCAGAATTCCTGGTAGTATGTGACGAAACTAGAAGCAGAAGCCATCTTTTACAAATCACTGTCCTGGGCTTCCCTGGTGGCGCAGTGGTTGGGAGTCCGCCTGCCGATGCAGGGGACACGAGTTCGTGCCCCGGTCCGGGAAGATCCCACGTGCCGCGGAGCGGCTAGGCCCGTGAGCCATGGCCGCTGAGCCTGCGCGTCCGGAGCCTGCGCGTCCGGAGCCTGTGCTCCGCAACGGGAGAGGCCACAACAGTGAGAGGCCCGCGTACCGCAAAAAAAAAAAAAAACAAAACACTGTTCTAGTCTCCGCTCTAGCACAGGAGTAGGAATGCAAATGGTGGATGGATGGATGGAACTGTTCTTCTTTTACTTGTTAATTCCACGTTGAGGCTTATGCACCACAGGATCAATCCAAAAAGCAGTATTTTGTACAAATTCATTGCACTGCTATTTATAATAGTGAAAAAGTGGAACATTGCAAATGCCAACAATAGAACACCCAAGTCAGGGATGCTCTACCTACACTGTGGACTCTGTTTAAGAAAAAAATGTGCATATAAAATGAAAATTATTCTCTGTGGGGAAGATGACAGAAGGGGGTCCAATTCAGGACTGTTTGTTGTCTGGTTGACATTTGTTAGTTGTTTTGGTTAAGCGGAGGATGGAGAATGCAACAGCAAGACCTGGGCTACGGAAAACTTTTCCAGGCCGTGGAGAGGGTGGATGTAGTGGGGAGGTGGGGAGTGAAGAAGGTAGACCCTGCTTTTTTAATGAAAGTCAACAAAAGGGATCAAAACTGAAGTTTTCTTACATTCTTGGTTAAGAGATGTTGAGAACTCTTGACTCTTCTTCTGGCTGGACTGGACACTGCAAAGAGAGAGAAAGGAATGGTTTTAGAGAACACCTGTGAGACTGATGGAGCTACAGTAGCAATACGGAGCGGGTTTGCACCTGGAGTGGGACAGGGCCCAGAGGAGGGGGTTGGGAAGAAGAGGCGGGTGCAATTGCAAGTTTATGTTTTTATTTTATTTTTTTAATAGATCTTTATTGGAGTATAATTGCTTCACAATACTGTGTTAGTTGATGTTGCACAACAAAGCAAATCAGCCACATGCATACGCAGGTCCCCATATCCCCTCCCTCTTGAGCCTCCCTCCCACCCTCCCTATCCCACCCCCCTAGGTGGTTGGTCACAAAGCACCGAGCTGATCTCCCTGTGCTATGCGGCTGCTTCCCACCAGCTGTCTATTTTACATTTGGTGGTGTATATATGTCAGTGCCACTCTCTCACTTCGCCCCAGCTCCCCCTCCCACCCATGTCCTCAAGTCCATTTTCTATGTCGACCTCTTTATTCCTGCCCTGCAACTAGGTTCATCAGTACCTTTTTTTTTAGATTCCATATATATGTTTTAGCATATGGTATTTGTTTTTCTCTTTCTGACTGACTTCACTCTGTATGACAGACTCTAGGTCCATCCACCTCACTACAAATAACTCAATTTCGTTTCTTTTTATGCTGAGTAATATTCCATAGTATATATATATGTGCCACATCTTCTTTATCCATTCATCTGTCGATGGACACTTAGGTTGCTTCCATGTCCTGGCTATTGTAAATAGAGCTGCAGTGAACATTGTGGTACATGACTCTTTGAATTATGGTTTTCTCAGGGTATATGCCCTACGTAGTGGGGTTGCTGGGTCATATGGTAGTTCTATTTTTAGTTTTTTAAGGAACCTCCATACTGGAGGTTTCCATAGTGGGTGTATCAATTTACATTCCCACCAACAGTGCAGGAGTGTTGCCTTTTCACCACACCCTTTCCAGCATTTATTGTTTCTAGATTTTTTGATAATGGCCATTCTGACTGGCATGAAGTGATAGCTCACTGTAGTTTTGATTTACATTTCTCTAATAACTAGTGATGTTGAGCATCTTTTCATGTGCCTCTTGGCCATCTGTATATCTTCCTTGGTGAAATGTCTATTTAAGTCTTCCGCCCATTTTTTAACTGGTTTGTTTTTCTTTTTGGATGTTGAGCTCCGTGAGCTGTTTGTATATTTTGGAGATTAATCCTTTGTTGTTTCATTTGCAAATATTTTCTCCCATTCTGAGGGTTGTCGTTTTGTCTTGTTTATGGTTCCCTTTGCTGTGTAAAAGCTTTTAAGTTTAATTAAGTCCCATTTGTTTATTTTTGTTTTTGTTTCCATTACTCTAGGAGGTGGGCAATTGCAATTTTAGATGTTACTTGGTCCAGTGCACCAAAGCTCATAGCAGCACTATTCATAATAGCTGAAAGGTAGAAACAACCCAAATGTCCACTAACAAATTAATGGACAAACTAAATGTGGTATAGACATGCAATGGAATATCATTCAGCCTTAAAAAATAATGACATTCTGAAACATGCTCTAACATGGATGAACCTTGAAAACATTAAGCTAAGTGAAATAAGCCAGATACAAAGGGACAAATATTGTATGAGTCTGCTTATATGAGATACCTCAACTAGTCAAATTCATAGAGACACAAAGTAGAACAGAGGTTACCAGGGGCTGGAAGAAGGAGGGAATGGGGAGTTGTTATTTAATGGGTACAGAGTGTCAGTTTGGGAAGTTGAAGAAATTCAGGAAATGGATAGTGGTGATGGTTGCACAACCATATGAATGTACTTAATGCCACAGAACTGAACACTTAAATAATTAAATGGTAAATTTTATTTACCACAGTAAATAAAAATAAAAAAAACTTGAAGAATCAATTAGCCATAAAAAAGTTACTTGCTTGGGAAAAAGGTGTGCATTTTGTTGAAAGTGGAGACACCCGGACATCTCTTTTGCACATTGACGCTAAAGTGATTTACTTGGAAATGAAATCCCACCCTGCCACTGCCCTGCCTAGAATGGAAATGACTTCTTGTCACATCTCAGATTAGTGCTCAGGTGAGAGCTGTGTTATTTTCTGCAGAGCGCCTGCTGCCATGAAGCCGGGCGAGCAGAGGGCTGGTTAAGAGCCAGGGCTCCAGACGCCTTTCACTTGGGTGTAAATCCCAACTTGACCACTTGCCAGTTGTGTGACTTGGGCGAATGACTCATCCTTGCTAAGCTTCACTTTCCTCTCTGGTAAAACTCGCACCTACCTCAGAGGGCTGCGGTGAGAATTAAATGGTCTAATCGTTATCAAGCCCTTGGCCCGGCGCCTAGCAAAGAGTGAGTTCCCAGGAATTAGTGGTGGTTATTATTGATGCAATTCTCCTCTTTCTCTGCAAGGCGAGGGCAGGTGGAAGGAAGAGGTGGTAACTTCTAGAGACTGTAGCCTCCGTCATGAGTTCTCTTCCTGGAGTTTTTTCCATTTCCTCCTGCTGTTCCCCGGCTCCCCTTGCCAACCCCGCTGCATTGTTGTTTATCCCCAAGAGAATTATTTTGAATGCTGTTCACCCTAGAATTAAATCCACTGGTGAGCTTCAGGAAATGACTTCTGGTATAACTTCTTGGTAAAACCACAGATTTTATCTTTTATATTTACTGTGAATTGTGCCTATGAAATCTTTCCCTTAAAGGGCTCTCCTTCTCTCTAGGAAGTAAAAATACACACTTGTCCTCAGTTACAGACTTGATCTATGTCTTGTGCCTTAAAATACTTAAGAAACACCATAACACTTGCTGTTGCCATATTTTTGTGAGCTTTAAGATGGCTCAGCTAAAAAAAAGACATAGATTTAGGTTGAACCCTTTATATATGTATGTGCGTATGTTGGAAAACAGGGATATAATACGACGATGATAAATGTGATAATGGCTCGCATTGAGCTTTACTAGGTGACGACTTATTTCCTTCTCGCATTCACTCCTCACAGCAACTCTTTGGGGTCGGGTGTCTTCATTGACTCTATTTCTTAGGTAGATACTGAGGGTTAGGGTCACACAGTTGGTGGTGGAACAAGGCCTGCGCTCTTAAACACTAGGTTGCTGAACTTGTGCACAGGAGCGTGTGGGAAAGGGCATACCAGGGAGGACTCTAACCCTTGTTAGAGAAAATCAAACCAACCTATATTTCTGCAGGCAGGGAACGTGGGGATGGAATGAAGAGTTACCAGTCTCTCTCATAAGCAGTGACTTAGGAAGACCTGGCCCCGTCTTCGCCCACTGAGAGCCTTATGCTTGATGCTCTGGAGGAGGCGAGATGAGGCAAAACAAGGCGTAGGAAGAGGCGGACTTCTTCCACTTACAGTCTAAGATAAAACTGCGGATATTCCTTTTCTAGAGAACAGCTTCCTGAGCAGTGACATGTCCATGAATACTGATGACTGATTTAATACCAGGAGGTGGCCATGAATAAGAATGGCAAAAAAGAAATACAGGATTGAATATTTATCTTTGACTAAACATATTCATTGCTCAAAATATGGAATAAAAATAGAAATCACTTTGTAAGTGATGTATTTAATGGTGCTTACTACCATGCCAGGTACTGTTCTAGATGCTTTATGTATTTTGTCTGTATCTCATTTTTCCCCCCATAATAACCTTGGGAGGTAAGTTCTAGTTCTTCCTTTTTTATAAGAGTGGAAACTCAGGCCCAGAGAGGTTAAGTGCCTGTCCAAGGTCACACAGCGTATAAGTGGTGGTGGGTCTCTTGACTCCTCTGCTAAGCAAATGGATTCAAAGGCCCTGTTTTGAATGATTTTCTTCAGGTGAAGTATGACGTTGCTCCTGAATTGTATAATAAGTTTTTAATTTAATAGGACCATTCAGCTTTGATGTTTTTCTCCCTTAAATGTTTTTAAATGTAAAAAAATTATAGAACATAGACATTTTAAGATTGTCCTATTTGCTTTCAATTTGTTTTCTTCTCATACAAGAGAAATAACAAATGAGAGGACAAGTTTTGGTCCCTTTTCTACTCTTCCCCAATTCTACTTTCCTCCCTCTCCAGGGCTACTAATATCACTATCTGTGTCTTTCCAGCCTATGTTTTTAATGCTTTTCTCTAGATATGTATCCATAAATAATATATAGTACTGTACAAATTTAATAATTTTTAGCCTGCTTTTTTTTTTCCCTCAACATGATGCTCTTGGGAGCTGTGTCCACACACATAGATCCAGTTCTTTTCCCTGTGGACTACTGTGGAGTATTCCAGAGTCTGATGACACCACATTTTACCCCTTCCCCTCTTCAAGGACATTTAAGTTGTTTTCAGTTTTGCCCTTGGAGACCCAGTGGCCCTGTAAGCATCCATGTATAAGAGCATTTACAGGAGTGGAACTGTTGGGTCAGAGGGTTGGCTTTGACTTTTCAGGTACATTCCCGAGTCTCCAGAGGGTGTCCCAACTTCGGCACGTGGGCAGACTCCCAGGTTTTCTTCTCTCCCTCTGTCTGGCAATAGATGTCTAAAGCTTAATTTATGTTCTGCTGGCTTTCTCTTTGTGGCCAGGCTGAGTCTCTCCCTTCCTCACAGGAGTGGCCATGTCGATGGCTGACATGGGAAGAAGAAAGGGGTTGTTTGAACAGGGGGTCGCAGCACCAGCAGACATCCGGCCCTCTTCATTCAGTCTGACAATGAGACCAGGGGCTAAGCTGGGGTCCCGGGCTCTCCCAGCAATACAGGGGCTGCAGGGAGAGCACAGGGGCGGCAGGAGAGAGGGCCCAGCTCTGCAGGGGGCAAGGGAACTATCCAGGGACACAGAGCCCTTCCCGGGCCTTGACACCATTCACCTCAGAGCAGCAGGGCTTTTACAAAGTCACAGTCTTTGGCGGTGCCAGTGCCAGGTTAAGTTTGGAAGCTTGGCCCTGGGGTCTGTGCAGAGCCCAGCCTGGGTCAGGGCATTCTTGGACCACTTCATTGGACTTTAGGCCACTGCCAGAAATATGATCCCTCCTCATATTTCACGGCACAGTTAGAAATCATACTTTTGAGCCAGCTGCTTCTCATTTCAGAACCCACTTGCTCACTGGAGAAGAGGAAAGAATCTATCTGCCCTGGGAATTTTGTTTTCATGTCTGTTTCCTAAAACAATGGCTTGCTGTCACTTTCGTTTGGCATACTGGGTTGCCAGTATCGAATTAAGTAAAACGAGGAATAGTTAGCTGCCCTCATTTCCCCTTTGATGGACTGTTTCTCAATGATTGATGTTCATCCATATGCCTCCTTTTCAGAAACAACCACAAACACCGTCAAAACAGAGAGACCATCCGACCTCAGAAACCTGGGGGTAAAAACCGTAATAAGGCAGCATATGACTGTCTTTACCCTCCTGCTTAGCCTGCCACGTTAAAGGAAACAGTCGAGGGCAATTTTACTCACCCTTGGAAGGAATCACGGTGGTGAAAACTTCTATATTTTCATCACTGCAGCTGTAAATCTGATGCATCGTTTCAGCCTTCTGTCCCCAAAAGTGCCTGGGAACCGGAGGCCTCTCTCTGAACCCCTAGTCGCAAGGTTTCCTAATCCAGTCTGGCTCGGGGATCATTGTGCCGGTCCACAAAAGACAGGCTGGTGCTGTGATCTCATCTCATTCCAGAGTCTTCACTGCAACATTTTCTAATCCCATCTGTCTTTTTTTTTTTTTTATGAATCCTATTATTGCGAACCTTTGATGGAGCCTGCAGGTTTCAGTCCCCTCGCGGCCAGGATGTATTTAACATTTTTATTTTGCCGTGTCTGCCGCAGTGAATTTGGAAGTCTTTTGTGAAGTGGTGATGAAGTGAAATCGCCTACTCGGGTAGCGCCAAGCGTGGCTGGAGGATTTTACCGAAAAGGAAACGTGAATTTTGGTACCAGCAATTCCCCTTTTCATTTCAGAGATGAAGAGGTTTTTTTTTTTTTTTTTCCCCTCCCTCCAGAACTGGCTATTCAGTAATCTGTCATGTGTTAATTTGGCTTCCTTGAAAGTTTCTATTTTAAACAAAAGGACTGTTCTTCCAGAGCGTTCTCGCCTCATGCCAGTACATGACAAGGCTGACATTTCTAGAGAGCTGTGTGTTCAGCATCTCCTTGTATAAACCTGCAGGTGCTTGCAGGAATGGGGGTAACAAGCAGTGCCTGACGCTAGAGGTGCCCAGCTACAGGGAGATTGTATTTTTATTATCCTAAATGTCCTAATATATTGTATACTATCCTAAATATCCTACTGTCCTATATATAACTTATATATCCTATATTTTATCCTATATATTCTGTATACATACACAAAAATAAGGTATGGTTGAAGCATAGGTGTATTATGTCAAACCCATGGCCTTTCATTACGCCATTACAGATTTATTTCTTCATGTTGATAATGATGTAATATTTTAAAAATTTATTTTATTGAGGTATAGTTGATTTACAATGTGTTAATTTCTGCTATACAGAAAAGTGATTCAGTTATACATACATACGTTCTTTTTCATATTCTTTTCCATACAGTTTATCACAGGATATTGAATATAGTTCCCTGTGCTTTACAGTAGGACCTTGTTGTTTTTCCATTCTATATGTAATAGTTTGCATCTGCTAATCCCAAATTCCCAATCCATTCCGTCCCCACTTTCTCTCCCCCTTGGCAACCGCAAGTCTGTTCTCTATGTCTGCAGGTCTGTTTCTGTTTTGTAGATAAGTTCATTTGTGTCGTATTTTAGATTCCGCGTATAAGTGATATGGTATTTGTCTTTCTCTTCATTACTTCACTTTATATGATAATCTCTGCATCCATCCATGTTGCTGCAAATTGCATTATTTCATTCTTTTTTATGGCTGAGTAGTATTCCATTGTATTCCATCCACATTTTTATCCATTCCTCTGTCAGTGGACATTCAGGTTGTTTCCATGTCTTGGCTATTGTGAACAGTGCTGCTGTGAACATAGGGGTGCATGTATCTTTTTGAATTATAGTTTTCTCCAGATATATGCCTGGGAGTGGAATTGCTGGATCATATGGCAACTCTATTTTTAGTTTTTTGAGGAACCTCCATACTGCTTTCCATATGGCTGTACCAATTTATATTCCCACCAATAATGTAAGAGGGTTTCTCCACATCCTCTCCAGCATTTGTTACTTGTAGAATTTTTAATGATGGCTATTGTAACTGGTGTGAGGTGATACCTCATTGTAGTTTTGATTTGCATTTCTCTAATAATTAGTGATGTTGAGTACCTTTTCATGTGTCTGTCGGCCAGATGGTGATGTAATACTAATAATGATAGTATTAGGGGAGCCATGTTTGTTCCACCAGCATTTATTAAATGCTTGCTAAGAGCCAGGAAACCTGGGCTTCCCTGGTGGCGCAGTGGTTGAGAGTCCGCCTGCCGATGCAGGGGACACGGGTTTGTGCCCTGGTCTGGGAAGATCCCATGTGCCGCGGAGCGGCTGGGCCCGTGAGCCATGGCCACTGGGCCTGCGCGTCCGGAGCCTGTGCTCCGCAACGGGAGAGGCCACAACAGTGAGAGGCCCGCGTACTGCAAAAAAAAAAAAAAAAAAAAAAAAGAGCCAGGAAACCTGATATATAATCTCATTTAATGTCTATAACCACTCAATGAGACTAGCTATTTTTGCCATTTTATAGGTGAGGAAACTGAGGCATAAAGAGATTGAATAATTTGCCCAAGATTAAAATATGTAGTTCATGGCAGAATTAGAATTTAAACTGTAACTTGACTCCAAAGGCAATGTAATTAGCCACTAAATTGTAGTCCATTCTTTACCTCCAAAGCCATCCCCCCTACTTTGAACCAGGGGAACCTGAGCCATACTCTCTTAGGCTTGGATTTGGTGACCACTGTTATTTCTACTGTAGACAAATCTGGGGCATTTACTCATTGGGTGGTTGTCAACATTACACCTATGTCTCTGAGAATTGCACCCAGCCACAGAGGATGGCTCTGGGGAGCCATGTTTGTTCCACCTGAATTTGTCCCCTTGGCCACATTTGATTGAACCAGAGCGAACATATAGCCCAAACTGCTGCTTCCTGGAAAGAAAATTTGGGCCTTGGCCTGAGGCCAGAGGGAAGGTACTGACTTTTAACATCTGAGGTGGCTTTCAAGGCCAGTGGGGCAGAGTTAAGGGCAAGCCAGTGGACAGAAATGGAACTGTTGCTCTGGAAGGGGCCCGAGGCCCAGATGCAAACTCAGGGTAAAGAGTTTCAGCTGGGGGAGGGGAGCAGGTCCTCTCACCCTGGCCTACACCAGGTGTGTCTGTGGTTCTGTTTGCACTCAGGTAAGGGCCAGTGGGAGGGGTGGGGGGTGAGGGGAGTGTTGGGAGAGCGAGGGGTGGGTGTGGAGAGATTGAAAAAGACAGAGGGGAGGGAGGGAGGGAGGGAGAATTGCCCTGGCTTGATAGTTTCCCATTTTCTGCCTTGTCTCTCTCAGGCCCTGTGGTCTTCCTGTCTCGTGGTCAATAAGATACCTCCGTCTCCATCTGATAGATTTCCTTTGTGCTTAAGTTTAAGTAGGTTTTGGTCATTTTCAGCTAAACAGAGTCGTGTCTAAAAGATATGTCTATAAGTTTTGTAACCTCCACAGTGATTACGTTTTTAGATAATATAAAGTTTAGAGGAGTACCTAGTACAATAGAAAGTAAGATCCAAAATTATGTTGAAGACAGAAATTATGTAACAGACTCTAGATAATAAAAACTACAAGATGAAACTTAACAAAACGAAGTGAAAACATCTCCCTTTACATTAAAAAAAATTAAGTACAGAATTGGGGTGACCTGGTTTAACAACAATTTATTAAAAAGAAATCCTGGCTTTTGGTTAACACATGCTTAATAAGAGGCAATATTAAAGGGCAGGGGCTAAAAGATACAAATGTAGTTTCAAGGACCTGATACTAAATTGAAATTAAGAACCCTCTGGGGCACCCAGAATCCAGTCAGGGTTACCTGGAATTAATCTCAAGGGGTCCATGCTGGATTAGGTTTTTTCTAAGAAAGCCTAAACTTAATTAGAGTATATTGTACTATGTCTAATGAATAAGACTGAAACATGTAGCTAAATGAGTTTATGTTAGGAAACACATCCAGAGATAAACAGTTCTTAAGAAATCATTTTTACCTGTTTGAAATATATTTTAAATAATAAAAATAATACCTGCTTATTATAACAAATTCAAAAATTGTAGATAGGTATACGGAAAAAGTGAAATCCACTTCCCCCATTCAAGCCTCACTTCCTAAAAGCAGTCATTGTTTACAGATTGGTGGGTGTATTTGCAGACTTTTTTTCATGTATATGTATGTATAATTAAAAAAGAATAGAAATGGAACTATACTACACATATGCACATACATGCACGCGCTCATTCATGTAGGGACATATATAGTTCCCATTCTTTAAATGTGCAGGAGACTACTGCATTGTAAGAATTTATCCACTCCTTTCTTGATAGACCCATAGCTTATTTCAATTTTTTAAAATTAGAAACAGTGCTGCAAAGAGCATCCTTATATATGTATCTTTATATATGTCTTCTTCTAATATTTTTGTAGGTTACATTTCTAGTTGTGGGAGTATGGGTCATAGCATATGCATATTTAAAAATTTGAGGGACTTTTTCAAATTGCCTTCCAAAAATTCTCATCAGTTGACACTTTCACCAATAGGATATGAGGGACTTATTCGCTACACCCTTGGTGAAATTTGACATTATTAATTTTTTGCCAGAATGATCCTGTTTGGTTTTTGTCTTCTGAGTCCAGAATATTGATTGTGATTGACAGTTAGGGTCCTCCTAGCTCAGGTACTTTACAATCCATGGAGGGGTGGATGGCTGAGCCCTCACGTTGGAATACAAACTCTATAATCGGTGCGCAGTAGTAAGTATACACCACACCTCTGAGTGCTGGTCGCCCCCGCTGTCCAGGACCAGGCTAAGCCTAGGTTAACAGTCTTCCCTGCCCTAGGGCTTCTCTTCTCCCAGGTTAGGGGGATTCACTGTGGAGAGTTCTACACTGTTTGTGTGTGGATGCCCACTTAACTTCTGTTCTAAAAGGCAGGCAGTCAATCAATGTTAGTGGAAGACTTTCTTGCATGCTTGGCTACCTGCTTGACTGGCTAATGGGAGAGGCTGAGTGGTGTTACCTCTGTGTTTCTCTCTCCAGCCTGAGGACTCTGGAGACCTACCCTGGCGGAGGTGCTAGAAGAAGCCCTCTCTGAAGACATTCCATTTAGGCCGGAGCCTAAGCACTGCTTCTGAGACTTTACTGTGATGGGTTTGCCAGGGGGTCTTGTTAAAATGCAGATTCTGATTCCGCATACTGGGGGTGAGGCCTAAGAGACTGAGTTTTGAGGAGCTCCTGAGAGGCCCTCCTCGCTGGCTCCAGGGTACACTTTGGGGTTCACGCATGGAGTTCATTTAAGGAGGGCAGATATTCTTGACCCGGATGC